CAATCCCACATTTCCACCACCCACCCACCAACCCAACCCCCACAGCTGCCCGACTCGACACAACCAAACATCACAGACACCCAAACAGCCAAACCCCCCCCCCACACACACATTAACCTGCTAAAATACATAAACCGACACATAGTAAAGAGTAAAGAGGCTGAATACAGGCGAACCAGTTGGTGATGGCTCGCCTGCGATGAACTGGTGCATCCAGAATTTGACAGAGGTAATTGCAGGTCCTTCTCTGTTCACTAATAGTATCTCTGCATATTCTGTATATTTGTTGGGATGCCTCCTGTAAGTTTATTAGAGCTGCCAGAGCAGCTTGAAGGTCTGACGCATGGAAATTATCCGACATGTTTGTTTCTGTGTACTGTATGTATGTGACATAAACACGTACGCGACGTGAGCAGATCTGACCAGAGTTTTGCGTCTTGGGCAGTGTAGACCGAAATGCTACGGTGGAGCATATTCAACTTTTCCACTAAAGAGGGTGGTTTCAGATTTTGCATTTTTAAACCCCAAAAACACCGTCACCGTCTAAACGAAAGGCACTTCCGATAAACTATTTTTTTTGTTTTTACCCGCAAGCTTTCTTGTGTAAACAGGTCCTTAATTCAGTAGAGATAGATTGAAAATTGTAGGACTGAAAATATATTACTGAAGGTGTTGTATGGAGTTTAAAAACACAGTGGAGCACTTCCTGTATTACCACATGACATCACAAAGTGGAACTGGGTGTTTTCTGTTTGAGAGAAGAACCCGTGTGAATGAAACAAACACAACTCCAAGTATGTTTTCGATGAGGAAACAACATTATAACATAGATCAGAAAATAGCATAATATGGGCCCTTTAATGACGACTGCTCATCTCAAAATGAACTCTAGTCTATACAATTTATAATACAAGCAATCCCACCTATGAGTAGCCTATATGCTCACCAGAGTCTCAATCTATTCCCCTATAGTTTCCTACAAGCAGACTAAGCGGCTAGCAGGCGTCACATGCCACAACACTACTCCTAATCACTTTTGACATCAAACTGTAAGTATAGTTAGTTGCCTTTAAAACTCCCAGGACCACATTGTTATGTCTGCTACTGCTGCTGACCTATTAGCTTAGCCCCTGCCTGGCTAAACAACCAATAACATAGCAATAATAACTACACAACATTTATGCCAAGCTGTGCACATTTCTGAGTAAACTGTCATAAATACACAATTATTCAGCCTTGTGTGGTTGAGGACAGGCGCGATTGCGTCTGGTCTGCTTAAAATGGACACCCCTCTGGTATTATGTTTATGGCCTTGATCAAAAAGAGACAGTGTTCGCAGGGCACCCCACTTTCAAGCATCCAGCCACAATTGAGCGTGGCGTCGAGATTCCAATCAGGGCCGAGCCAGCAGACGGCAGGGATTATTTATGCTGGAAAAGAGAGGGAGACCTCGAAAGATGGAGGATCAGAGAGTACACACGCGCTATACTTATGAGGACCAACAGTCAGGCTTCATTATGGAAGGGTCCTCAAAGGGAACATTTTTCCAGTTGAGGTTGAAAAAGCGCTAATTTGCAGTTAAATCTTGGGTTTAGACATGCAGTTAGTAGGATTAGTGTTAGTTTTAAGTATTTATGGAGAAATGCTTTATAATCAAATGAAAATAACATTGGCACCACATTCAGACCATGATTCAAACTGAGGATAATGTAGTTCAGGGGTAAATGCACTATTCACTGAAACCAATTATTGTGTCATTGACAATATTTTTTTTCTAGGCTCCTAGTAACAACTTTTATTTATTTATGTTACAGAAATTCAAGAATAATATGTCTTGAGAACTGAGAATTGGATTTGGTCTTCTTGTGGTTGTAGGCAGGGTATGACAAGAATGCTATGCTAATCAACTATTTACTGAGAATTTGAAGCTTAACTTTTTTAAAACTTGATCGGGTTTGTGGTTTGAGAACATAAAAATCGCTAATTTTTTTTCTTACAATGTTGCCAGTACAGTCTGCACCGATGAATTTCAGTTGATTAATAGTTAAATAGTACAAAGTGGTTACGACATTTTAGGACTTTTGAGAAACTGAAAAAATTCTGCTCAAGTCATCCACTGCCAGCATGTGCATGTTTTTTGTAAAGCAATGTTGTAACCAGCGTGTTTTCTTTCTTATGCAAAGCCAATGGAAAAGGCTACGCTTCATAGAGCACAGATCTCAATGTTCTTACTACATTAGCATTTTTCATACACACAAACATGTTCCAAAACAATGGCTGTCTCTTTTTTGGGGGTCTGGCAGCATTTTGTGAAACAAGCCCACACCACAGCAGCCAAGCCACATCAAACGGCACCAGCACACTGAGGGGCACACCAATAACTGCCACTAAGTTTCTCAGGCGCTGGCTACAGATACATGGGATCATGCTAATACCAGCCCACTCAGCTAGCTCCATCTCTTACCACCATCACCACTATTGTAAATACTTCTCAATATGTATTTACACTGCAGCGGCTCGAAAAAATGAGGTGAAAAGCTGAAAAAGTGGTCTGGAAAAATGGCGGAGTGTCAGTCAGATGGAGGTAACCCGCTGTTATAATAGGACTGTGTGAGCAGATATAGCAGTATCATGATGTTATGGCTATAGCATATACAGCATGTGGCCAAACTTTGAATTCAACTCAGTAAATGTAGTTGATCTTTAATTATTGTGGAGTAGATTTATTAGCCTATTGATTGAAACTTGTAAATGTAAGCATTTAGTTTACATTTGTGGCGCTGTGGTGTAACCAGGTCAAAACAGTTACTGGAAAATACACATAATCTCCTCAGATATTTATAGGATTTTTCCTGACCCTTAAATAATACGTCCTGTTGAGTCCTACTCATATCGACAGGATTATTCTTAGTGAAAGAAATTGGGAAAAAGCAGAATGTTCAGTCAATTTTATCAAGATATTTAAAAAAAAAAAAGTTTTCTTTTTCAGACCAGAGTGTGTTTGTTTTTCATAGCTGACAGTTTCGACTGCTGCTCACTGTCAGGTATGAAAAGCAAAGAAACTCTGGTTTGAAAAAAGAATATTTTTGAATACATCAGAAAACCAAATAAACCTCATTGGACAAAGGCTATGGTGATTAGGTGAATCTTTACAACAAAGCAATGTGCAGAAAACTTTAGCTGATTTTGTTTCAAGGTAAAACACCGTCATTTTCCTTTTCTTAAAGCGATTCCCTCTGCTCTTTATGACTTTTGCCCCAAAAAAATGCTGCCCTCTTATTGGTCCAATGGGTCTGATCCACCAGATCTGAGCTCAAATGCAGATGGGTTCTTGCAGATGGATTCTTGAACTCAAATTCACATCAGTACTTTAGAAATATTGGCAAGATACTGAATTGCAGATTGATTTGTGACAACCGGATGACATCACTGACACCATTATAAATTCATATTTTACTATGATGGATTTTACAGTGTATTTGACCGAGTAATAGAGAAGATAGCTGTTTCACTAGACTGAAGTCATGTGATGCACACAGTGTGGACAAAGAGCAGACAGAACCCAGAAGAACAAATGTCTCCTTTTCCATCACCCTCAGACCTACGTCAGCCCATATGTGAACAATTACATGGCTCGCTCCTGTGAATAAATTAGTCTAATCAACTTCTCTCTTCCCTGACATCCGCACCTAAATCCCCCGCTCAGTGAAAAACCCAGTGATCCCTGGTCTGGAGACACCCTCAGTGCCCATCCTTCTATTTGCCCATCCTGTTTAAACTGTTGGAATAAACCGTGATACTAAGACATGGGCTTTCCAATGGCTAAATGTCACCCTGGATTATGCTCCACTCCTCAGAGACAAATAAAATCATAGCTCTATCATACCATCTTCCACTTCAATGTCTCTTCTAGAAGTTTGAGAATGACATGGTTTAAAAAACACAGAGGATTGGCCAGTTTACAAAGCACGTGTACCTGAGGAGACTTGTGGTAATACAGAGAGGACATGCTAACCTCACAGGAATCATACAGAACATTGCACTCTAATCAACCTTAGCGAGAAACATGGAATGAACAATATCTGAACTGAGCGGTGGAGAGTGACTGATCATATTCATTACAAATTAACTTTATTGACATTTTCCAGCTCATGTGGTGATAGTCAACACTGTCACAAATGAGATAACAGGGCTAAAGTATTTGAGCGCACGCCGACACATATCAGACTTTTACTTGGCAGTCTCTGGCTGGAGCCTGACATCTTGTGATGGCTAAACTGGTTCTTGACTACAGCTGCTAGTCTCCTGGCAACAGATGTCTTGTGTTCTGGCACACAGTGTGCTCTGTGCCCGCTCACCTGGCATATCCGCAGTATACATGTCAGTGGACTCCTATTATTACCACAGGCAACATGCCACTGGCACACGTAAATATGGGAGTGATGTACCATCATGCAAGTTCATTGGAACAGGCAAAATACAACACAACAGAAGGATGCTAAAATCAGTGGAGCTTTCAAATTACACTAATGCAATGGTGGGAAAAGTTAATCCAAGTGATTATTTCAGGTAATGTCACTTGAGTCACTTAAACAACACAACACAAATGACAGCAGCACAACACAAATGACAGCAGAAAGGATTGTTAAACCTGTGCTTTGATCATATATGAGCATGTAGACATTATATGTGGGTAGTAATTCTATAGGCATACTGTGGTACTGCTTCATGAGATATATTTGATGCTTTTGCATGGTCCATCCTACCCCAAGACGTTTTTGCTAATTTAGTCTGTCATTGTTTTGTGGTTGATTTGATTGTTTTCCTTTAGTTTTGTGTGTTTTAGTACTTTTCTTTTGATCCCTGCCTCAGGATTAAGTGAACAAACACTGTCCAAAGGGCCCCAGGGAGAGCGGCTGTCAATGTGGTGATTACAGGGACATAAATAAACAGTAAATACATTCTTTCAGTATGTACGTAGACAAGAAATGATTTCTTACTTTTTGTGTTGGTTCTCCTTCCGGTCAGCTGAGCCCAAACTCTGTAAAAAGAAAAACAATACTACTATTACAATTTGCATCAAACTGGAAATTGGCGTAATAAAGGAATGTATTGTACCCCAGGGCAGCTGTGGCAGAAGAATATTACCACCCCCTAAATGTGAACGAGCGAACGCGTTAGCTACATACCACTCTTAAAAAGCCTAAGCCTCTGTATAGGCCTGATCTGTCTCAGCAGTGCCTTTAAAGCAGGCTATAGCCCCAAGCAGTGTTCAGATGATCAGCTCCACCTTGTAACCATTACACGACTAATGACCTTGTCTCTAGTGAAAATAATTATGAGGCTGGCTGGGATTTCAAACACTACTCCAATGAATAAACCCTATCCACAGGCATCCATTATAAATGTGTGGAGGTGTGCGCGTGCTCTAGCCTTTATCTGATGGAGAAGTTATCCGAGTTCATCCACAACCCAAAAATATTTCCCAGCAGCTTGTCTCTGCAGGGGACAATTGGGTGCATCCCTGCGGCACAGCTGACTTATCCGATATGGAGTCACGCTGAGACAGGTAGCCTTAAGGTAAGCTGTGGCCAAAGGCTAATTCAGGCCAGTCAGAGAGAAGTCAGAGACATGCCCCATAGGGAAAAACAACTACTTTGAGATATATGGTTCTGTGTGGCACCTCGGGGTATATCCAGTGCAGTTCCTTTGTGGACAAGATGGTTATGATGCAAATATGATCTAACCTGTCAATTTAGCGTATTGTGCATGACAGTGTGAAGTAGCAAGGCAAACAGTACAAGAACGGCAGCACTAGAATGTATGATGAGAATATCAATATACACTTGGACATCTGAAGATACAAGCAGAATTACTATGATGATGGGTATGAACTTGGGGATATATGTAAGTAGAAATATTGAAATGTGGCATAGTAAAGAGAAATGCACCAGTCACATTTTAAAGAAGACATTTTGTGCATGAATTTGCTATATGGTTCTAATCTACAACACCCTGTATATCTTTATTTTATAATTTGCACACATTAAATCACAATACTCATCTAAAACAGCTCAATTAAAAAAAAAAGTCCACTGACTTCCACGTAAGAAAACTACGGTGTCCAATGGGAGCCGTAAACGTCACTGCAACAAAGAGTCAGCAACCCCTATGGATAGCTGCAGATTAAGATAGCGAGTGGCAGATTATTATTTATTTCTTTTTTTCATGTTTACTACAATGACTACATAATGCTGCTGATTCCTATGTATCACTGATTGAGAAAATCAAATTAGAGAATGAAGTAAGTAGAGAGCAGTGGGCGTTTTCTGGTGGCAGTGAAAACGGGGGTTGACAATATGGTGTCTTGAAAGTAACTGATTAAAGATTGCTCAAACATGCATGAATCACTATAAATACAACTTCGAGAGGGTAAATGAGAAGGGGAAACAACTATAACATGGTTAAAAGCTCTAAAAAGTTGATTTTGCATAATAGGTCGGATTTAAGGCACACTGTAACTTTTCTGCTGGGGTGGTTTGCCCAGAAACGTCCATAAAGATGCATTAAACATATCTATCTTACATTTCAATTATAGGTGTTTTATTGCTCTAAAACGAATGGCTCGCCTCTCCACAGATCTGACCTGTCATCTGACCTGGTGGCACAGACAAGCAGGTAACAGATGCTCCACTAGAAAAGTTACATAGTGCACTGTTAATGAATAACATTAATAAAAATGATGTAGACTTATGACGTACATTTGTACCAGCAACACAAAATCCAGACAGACATTTCACTCATAAGACATGGTCAATTGTTATGTATCTTGTGCATTTGCGCAAAAGTCAGCCTGCATTTCAACAAAGCCTTGACTTGTAGCTAAAGAAAGGATTGGGATCACACCATGTCTTCCCTTTCAGAGCCCACATCAGACGGCAGTTCAGTTTAATGCTAGCGCCTGTGACATTTGACCAGCTCCTGACTCCTTCTCTGCACGTTCTTTTATGTGCACAGCTCAGTGACATTTGGAGCAGTCAGCGGTGTTCCTGCTCTTATACCTTTGCATATGTGCCCCTGGTGTGAACAGGGCATACCCTACCGAGCATGACCTTTCACCTCTATGCTCCCCTACAGGTAGAGCTGCCCCCTGTGGGCTGGAGGGAGACCTGTGTTTGAGCCACCTTACAGCCTCCGCTAATGACCAGCGCAGCTATATTTAGAACACACTGTCTGCCGTCCATTCACATCATTACGATACGGTACATGTCTAACTTATCTTTCATTTTGTACCTTCTTCTTTTCAAATATACATCAAACTATAAAATTACATACTTCTATCACCAATTAAAATGCCTTTTTTCAGTGTATATTTTAAGACTATAACCTTTACATGGGTGGTGGATACTAATCTTGAATATGCGATATGACTGCACATAATGCATGTTTAATATGAATTATGAAGTTTTATTTAATTTATATTTGAATTAGAAATATCCCCAACAGGTAAATGATTCACTTACTCAAAAATTATAATAATCAGATGGAATCAATAAAAAAGAAGAATTCATCCTCCATCTATCTCCATCTCTGTTCTATATTTAGAAAATGCATCTTTCTCTGACCAAACTACCACATCAAATACTTTTCCTGAACAGTCAAACCACGAGTGATAAATGTGAGCCATGCTTTACAAAGGCAGCTAAACAGTGTGATTAGTGAACGCTGTCAGTAATTACCATCACACCGCACTCTCCTGTCAGATTTGTGTTCTGAGTGGCAGCTGCATACCTTTACAGCAGGTCCAACAGCTGTGATTCCACCATTACAATACCCACCTCACTACAAATGCCTGGAAACCATAATCAGATTATTTTCTAACACTTTCACATACAACTCGAAGCCACGCAAACAACTTCTCCACTCTCAGAACCTACCTGTCGAATCAAGGAACGCACAATCCCCAAACTCCCAATTTCCAGTCACCTGTCTGTCAAACTTCTGCCTTTCCTCTCCGTCGTAACTCCTTTCACGTTCCAGTAGCGATTGGTCACACGGCTGGATTTGTTTTTTCCTCGGCAAAGCTTCCGATGCTGCTCGCTACCGCTGCCGACTTGTTGTACTTTAATTGTGGTTGCTAGGCGATAAGCTTCTCCAATTCTGCACGCGGCGACGAGGAGGGGAGCGAGGGAGGTGGGAAAGGGGGTAAGGAGCGAGAGAATAGGTGACGGGGGGTGGAAGGAAACGCTCATTATAGACACAGTAGCCTCCGGAGAATACAGGTGGGGGGTCCATACAGTACCAGGGGGGTGATGGACGAGGAAGTGAACAACAGGTGGATTTCGAAAATGTGTCAAAACCTCTTGTTTTAATGTACGTGGAAAAATCAATTATAAAGAATGCAAAAAATGTTAATCAGCAGTAGTGCAGCAATTAGCTAATTAGCCATTTTCTACAACACAAGCAGTAAAATATGTTTCTAGAGTCCACAGGGGTTTGACACTTAAAACCCACTTGATACAGAGGTTCAGTTTTGTAATGTGTGCAGTTTTTTTTTTTTTACATTTTTATAGTACACAACATATTACACTAATGTAGTTCAACAAGGGACATACTTAAAATTGCTGCTATAAAAGTTGTAAGCGTTATGTAAGGGTAATAATCTTGGGTCTTGAACATTACGACCCACACACTGTAAACCAGTAGAGGAATATTGCAGTACTGAATAACTTCAAAACACAAAATAGCAAGTTAATTTTGACAAAACTGTAAATAATATTGGCTGGTTTAACAGGTTATGTTGTATTTTATATTCTCAGTTTTTTTATTCTAATATTTCTAAAACATAATTGTAGTTTAGTTTAGGATGAAATTTGGGTTTATTTTGTCCAGGAAAATGTTAATCTGTCAAAAGGATTAGAAGGGGAGAGTTAAAGATGCACTATGTAACTTGAACCCCTAACCTGAAATGTCATATAGTGTGTTGTAATGTTATTTCCTGGAGTTGCATTTTGTTCCATTCGCACAAACCTTCTTTGAGCTCTTCCTGCAAACAGAAAACACTCTGTTCCACATTGTGATGTCATGTGGTAATACAGGAAGTGCTCCACTGTGTTTTCAGACTTCATAAACCTTCACTAGTTTAATTTGGGTAATTTCAGACTTGGAATTGTCCATCTCTACTGAACTAAATGTAAAAACTTAACTTAAAAAATAACACTTCATGATATCACAAGGTGGAACAGAGCATTTTGAGCTTTGAAGCTGTAGACAGACTAATAATAAAGGATTACTCAAACATATGTGAATGAAACAAAAGTCCAGGTATGTTTTTGAGGAGGTAACAACATTCTAACATGGTTTTTCACGCAAGTTCGCAAGAATCCATTTTGTGTGATATAAGACCATTAATAACTGAAAATATGATCGTATTATGTCAGTATAATTATTTTCTCACTTCTTTTGTTGGTGTCATGACTAAAAAAGTAGACACCTGATTTAAAAGAATGATGCCAGACGCGGAGCCATGAAATAACGTTAACACTTTATCAATTTCTCCATCGCACCAGACCACCCACTTGGACTTTTAACAACACAAACATCAATACAAGTCCATGGGGCAGCAGAAAGTGAATTGTACTTATCGGCTGGTGACCTTTGATGCTCCCGTGCGCTCTTGGAGGTTGTCCCATATGTCTACAGTGTATACAGAGTGGACGTATGTGTCATATGAAGTTACAGAGGGGTGACTCACTGTGTTTGTAGGCACTGACTGTGGTGGGAATTCATAAATATCTGCCAGCACATTGTCCACTCAGTCTATAGTGTGACGCCTAAGAAGCACACCGCGGAGAAGGCAGCATTACTCATAGCTGCTGGAAATGTCAGTCGAAGAAAAAAAACACACACAGGAAATAGTGTCATCTTGTCCTCTTTATGTGCTGGCTCATGCTGATTGCTGAAGATACACCAAACTCTGAAATGAATGAGATACTGTGTGAAATGTAAACAAACGAAATGTGTCAGTGAAAATCTGTGTGGGGCTAATTACAATTAATTACATGACCTAAATAACAGTTATTGATATTTAGGGTGATATTGAAGGGTTGGGCTTTATGACAACAGAAAAAAGAAAAATCCCCTCCTATTGATTTATCACAATTTTCGATTTGACTCGTTTTTCTAAAAATGTACATAAACAATTTACTTACAGAGTTTTTATCTGTGTCTGGAGTTGTGTTTTTTGTTTTGTTCACACATGTTTAACACATATACTAGTATTGAGGCTCTTAAAGAGAAAACACTCTGTTCCACCTTGTGAGGTCATGTGGCAATACAGAAGTGCTTCTCTGAGTTTTTAAACTCTGTAATCTCTACACACTTTTGATAACACACATTTTTGATAATTTCAGCCCTGGAACTGCCAATTTTTTATGAATAAGAAGTAAAAATGTAGCTGTTAACTACCAAAATTACCACTTCATGACATCACAAGTTGGAACAGAGCATTTTGAGCTTTGGAGACAAAACTAATAATAAAGGGTTACTCAAACACATGTGAATGGAACAAAACACAAGTCCAGGTAATGTTTTTGAGGAGATTCTAATATAACTTAATGCTCACAAGAGTCAATTTTGCATAATATAAGACTTTAAATATAGTTATCTCTAAATACCACAGGCATAAAGTATCATTTGTATCTCAATTTTTTGTAGCTTGTTTTTAGACTCTTTCTAACCTCCAAGCTGTTTACTGAACTTGAGATGTTGCCAGGTACTGATAAGTAAATATTAAGTACTAAAGCCAAAAATATACAGTATATGCTAGCTGATCTCATTATGCAAACTATTTTAGTAACTCGCTCGGAGGACTCAGTGGGTAATGCTCCCGGGAGGAGAGTGAATCCAGGATACATTTCATTCATAGAGTTTCCTGGGGGGTCCACATGACAGTCACAACAATCAGCCACGTCACAGCAGGGGAAAAGAAAAGATTAGAATGAAAAGGCCAGCAAAGGTCAAAAAGAAAAATTATGTATGCACTGAATCAGCTTAAAGTTAAAACACAATTAAAAAGTGAAGTTTGCAGGTGGTACAAAGCTAAAGGAATCAATAGGTCAATATTGAACTGACACGGACTCAGAACATTTTTATTTGAACTAAAACAAACTGCTTTTCATAACACTGCAGAAAACTTCATACTTCAAAACTCATACCAAGGTAAAGCAATAATATCTCCATCTAGACAAGTAGGTAGCGGACCTCCCACCAGAAAAGTTGAGCCGTGCACCTTTTAAGAAGGAATGCAGAGGTTTATATAACTCTATGGGAGATTCACTGTTTTGGAAAGAAATATCCAAACATATTATCCCCAAATGTTGAATCTTATTATTTGTTAGGGATTAGCTCATCAACCTTGCCATATTAATCTTATTGTTTAAAGTCCTTTCAACTGACGAAGACTCTTTTAGGGTTGAAGCTATTGTGGAAAAATAAATAAATAACTTTTGTTTGTTTACGCTGACAGAGAAGACACTGAACTTTGAGTCAGTTTTTGTTTTATGTGGAGAAGCCCAGTAATTACAGAGATATTAACCTCCTTCAAGATGACACACCATTTTCATCTGTTGTTTTGTGAATTTCGAGCTTGTTAGTAATTAAAATTTTAAAGGTCCTATACAAAATTCACCGTTGTGAGTCAGCCGTGTTATAATGTTGTTGCCTCCTCAAAAACATACCTGAAGTTGTGTTTTGTTTCATTCACACGTGTTTGAGTAACCCTTTATTATTAGTCCGACTACGTCTCTTACACTCAAAATGCTCTGTTCCACCTTGTGATGTCATGAAGCGGTAGTTTCTAAGTTAACAGCTACTATTTACCTCTTGTTCAGTAGAGATTGGCAGTTCTAGGGCTGAAATCAACCAGATGATTCTAGCAAAGGTGTGTGGATTTTAAAAACACAGTGGAGCACTTCCTGACATCATGAGGTAGAGCAGTTTGTGTTTTCAGTTTGAGAGATGAACTCAGCCTAAATATGCAGGGTTTGTGTTTTAAACATGTGTGAATGAAACAAAACAGAACTCCAGATATGTTTTTGATGTAGAAACAACATTATAACAAATTAGAAAACAGCGTAATTTGGGATCTTTAACCTTTAATTCTTTGTATTTTATCACGATGAACCAACCAAACTTCTATAACAAAAATATAGAGCTGCTGCAAGACCAGAATAACCAGATTTTGTCAAACGCTCCATTCAAACAGGTCTTAACCTACTTGCCCGCTAAGTGTAATTTCAGCCAAGTTTATTTGACACTTGACACTCAAAAGTATGTCCACCACCTCCCATGCTGCCAGGGCGGGTCTGCAATTTTACAATGTCATTATTTGTACAGGACTCCCCCTCCCAAGCTCCGCGGTTCCAATACCAACTGTAAATCAACACAAGAGAGAGTGCGAGCGTCTGTGCATATTTACCCATAAATCATTGCAGCGGAGCCACCTGCAATCACGCTAATAGGGTTGGAAGACGTGCTGTCATCCGGGCCATGATGTCACCCGGCCGGCTCGCGTCTGTGGGGGTGTGGGCACATGGGGGGAGGTGTCTGTGGTCTGTATGGAAATGTATGTGCGGCATAGGCGTAAGTTTAATCAAATGCATTTATGTGAATAGATCTGCCGTAAACACGCGAGTCCTATATGGTCTGGTGGTTAGCGCTGGCTTACAATGGTGTGTGGGATTCCATCGAGAAAATCTAAACAAGTGGAGCGGTTAGTAAGGGCCTGCCACGTTTCCACACAATGCAGCTCATTCACATAAATAACCGGGGACTTTGAAAAACGGGACCCTTATTTACTTCTCCTCTGTAGATAATTGGCCTGTTAAGTTTTGGGCAAGGGCTTGGATTGAGAAAAAAGTGAAATGTTGAAGGTCCTATATTACACAAAATTGACTCTTGTGAGGTTTAAGCCATGTTATAATGCTGTTGCCTCATCAAAAACGTACCTGGACTTGTGTTTTGTTTCATTCATGCATGATTGAGTAATCCTGCATTATTACTCTGTCTACATTTCCAAAGCTCAACATGCTGCGTTGCACCTTGTGATGTCATGTAGTGCTAGTTTTGAAGTTAACAGATTAGACAGTATCCAAGTTTCACGATACAATATTGTCACAGTATAAACCTCATGGTACAATATTTATTGCAATATCGTGGGAAAGCTCACGATATGGTGGGGAGGCTCACGATTAGGGTACGATATTAATTGCGATATTTTGTGGAGGCTAACAAAACTGTTAATATGCTACTTTTTCTTTTAAAATGCCTTGACAAGACTTAATCCAAAGAACTAAGACCTAAAAGTGTTTAGAACTGTTATTTCTTCTTGTAGTCTACACTGAAATGGAGCAAAGAATCATGGGCTATGTAGTTCCTTCTGTCTTTTTTTTAACTATTGCTGCACCATAACTCTTACTTTAAACAAAGAGACTTGTAATTCGATATATTGTGATGGTCCATGATATTATTATGAGAACTTTGACGATATAATATCCTGATATTTTGGTTATTGTTACATCCCTATACCAGATACCTTGTACCTTTAGTTGCATAGAGATTGGCAAATCCAGAGCTGAAATCAAGATAATGCTAGTGAAGGTGTATGGAGTTTAAAATCACAGTGGAGCACTTCCTGTATTGTCACAAGGCATCACATGGTGGAACAGAGGGTTTTCAGTCTGAGAGAAGAACTCTACATACGCAGGGCGGTGTGTTAAAACATGTGTGAATGAAACTAAACACAACTCTTGGTATGTTTTTGATGAGGAAACAACATTATAACATAGATCAGAATATAGTATAACATGGGCCCTTTAAAGGAGACATATTATGCTTTTTTAGTGTAATATTTGTGTAATATTTTTTGTGTAATATTTGAACTATAACAGAAGTAGATCATTTGTTTTGTTAATTGTAAACTGCAGTATTGGTCTTACAGATTTACAAAGAAGCACAGACACCTGGTTCAAAGCCGCAGAAATGATTAGCCTCACCAATATCTGACAAATGGCCATGTGACATGTTTAAATACTACATGTATGACTTTTGATGATTTTTTGAATAATTGCATGCAAGATCAGAACAGTGGGCGAGAATAGATGATAGGTGAAAACAGACTGTTTCTAAGCTCTCGAGCCTTGGATGCAGAAAAATACAGGATTACTCAAATGTGCCTGAATCAATCAAAATACAACTTTAAGTAAACTAATGATGAGGGAACCCTATTATAACATGGTTAAAATCTCATAAAAGTCAGTTTTACATAATACGTCCCCTTTAATATAACTCAATCTTATGAAAAGTCTGGTTAAGATGGATTGGCTGCCAGTGCTATCTGTCAGCCAAGCAGTTGGAGCATCATCAGAGAAAACAGGGCTTGAAGTGGGAGCTTAATAGTCCGTGCCACTGCTTAAGCTGCTCGTGCTTTGATGGAAAAGATGAACTTGACAACTGTAAATGGCAAAATAATAAAGAAATTTAGAGGGAAAACGCATAGGCCATTATGTTTTTATATCAAAGTGGATTAGTGCACAGGCGTTGTGCAGAGTCTGCTCGTTAGAAAAAACACATTAATGACATTGTTATTACAGATTTACTGTGTGTTTTAAGGAGATTTAAAGGGCCAATT